CGTAGGTCATTAAATTTTATTTTTAGAATCAAAATGCGCACAAAAGTACCGTGGTGCAATGCTTTAAAGTAGTGTGAAGATAGGAATGGCTCAATCCCTGCCTCTAACCATCATCCACGTGATTGTGGAAGTAGCTGTGAGGTCATTTGTAGTCAACACCAGAGGCTAAAATGTACTGCAGAAATGAAATGTCCCTAAACATTCCACGTTCTCAACCATTTCTGAAGACAGAAAGCCAGTGGCACAAGCTCGTGCTCGGGTGTCCGCTTTTACCATCACCTGTTACAGGTTGGGTACAGGAGGTGGTCCTGAGCTCTGTCGGAGCTCTCACCTTGGGTTTGTTTAACACAGTTTGGGTAGTTTTGGTCTCCAATCTCCTTGCTTTCGTCACTAGAAATGATTCCACTTAAAGGAGGAGCAAAAATAGCCTCCTGTACAGTTGATATTTAAGTTTACCGCGCGAAAGCTGCTGTGAAAGGAGGTGATCGCGGCTATTGCGGTAGCGTGTACAAGAGACCCGCGTTTACTACTTCACATTTTCGCTCACATACACACATCGCGACTGTTGCCCTTATTTGATTTATGCGGTGTGTGTGCGTGTGTGTGTGTGTGTTTAGGTTAACCCACCAAATGTTCACCCTCAAATAACAGTGAAATAAACTTGCCACCTCCTGCCACATGTGCCACCACTGCAACAACAGTCTCTCGCAAGGGGACAGGCAAGTTATGGCAGTTCTTGCTCCTCTCCAAGCCTGGATCCCTTTATAGGGCTCTCTAGATCCCTCAGTTTGTGTTTTTTTTTATATATATATCAGATAGTATGCCTCTTTCAACAGAATGGACAAGCAGTCAGTCAGACAGACATGAAGCAGCCATTTTGTAATTCGTGTCGGGTGCCTTGAGCCGCATCAGACAATGTTGTTTTATGCCCCACAGGCCACCTTTTGCCGCCTTTGGACTTGTATTTACACTCGATCTATCATTCGTAGAACAGTGGACGATCTTTGGAGTTTGATGGGCTCTGCCGTCAAAACAAAACAATGTGCCCAAATTTTCAAGCTGTTAAGTCGTTTCTTTCTTTTTAAAGAAGAAGTCGCTCCAAAGTTCGCTCTCAATCCAATTTAAGGATCGCGGTTGTAGCGAACTGCTTTGAAGGATTGTGTTTAAAAGGAGGAGACTTTTGTGAACTGTTGCTCGCTTCTCACACCTTCTTTGCTAAAAGTGCTTACATTATTTAAAATGTTCAAAACAAAGGTCATAATCCAACACAAAACATTACCCTGTAATGACCAGGGCATTGCGCAAAAACATCATCCAATCCACTTTTTGTAAACAAAAGTGAAAGGTGCCTGACTGCAAACGATCAGGCACCTTTCAATTGTGTGCAAAGCCATGGCGATGCCAGTCATCCTCCTGTCAATCCTTGCCTCGGTGATAGGTGACAATTCGCCTGAACAGATTCACCTCTCCTTGAGTCGTAAGTCTTAGCAGTTGGTTTGTCAAGTCTTGCCTCTTCTAAGTGGGCTGTTAGCGATCCCGGAGGAGGAGGAGGAGTAACACTTTTTGAAACATGCAGTTCACCTGGCCGATGCTCCACCACACCCTCCTTGCAAGCACTCAGACAATTGGGGTACTGAGTCATTCGTAAGGGGATCTTAGTGAGAGGAATACGTAGATTTGTGCTAAAAAAATGCCACGAGGTGATTAAAAAAGACAAGCGGAATGTTCTACTTTCCCGTGTTCAAGGCACAACAGTTTTAAGTTTTGACCACCTTCCAAATTTGACCTTCCAGGTGATCCCAACGCCATGACTGTAATGTGGACAACACAACAAAAATCTTCTGAGTCCATCGTTCTCTACGGAGAACACGAAATGTCAATGCGAGTTTTCGCTGTACAAACACCCTTCGTGGATGGAGGCGAGGAGCAGCGAGTCATTTACATGCATGAAGCCACCCTTCGGGACCTGCAACCGAACAGCACTTATGGTAATTTGTGGAGACGGCGTCATGAAAATCAGATTTGTAGACAAATTGGACAGCTAGCATAAAAAAAGGTGCACCAAAATTAGCCCAT